GTGAAATGGTAGAAACCTGTCCAGGGTTGCTTTGGGTCATAAGGCTGACCCCAAGAGCTTCCCCGCTGCACCCCTAGCCCTCCTGCTTCCATCCTGAGGGCCTCACCTCTCCTTTCAAGGGAGGCTCTCCAACACAGTTCCCCCACTTCCCTCTGCTCGTAGCTCCCAGCTGTGCGCTTTGGAGGTCAGAGGGGAAGGAAGCCATGTGAAAGGGACCTGCCTTTCCAGGCCCCAGACAGACCTCCACTCTGTGACCTGTGTTTCCAGTCCTGCCTTGGGGAGTCAGGAGTGATTGTATCCAACCCCCCCCCCGGGGGGGGGTGTCAGGCCCCGCAGGCATTTTCTGACGTGCAGTGTGGTTAACGCTGGTGTGTCTCTAAGACATGTGGCTACATCATGTCATGTCGGTGTCGCGTCAGCGAGGGTTGACAGACTGCGTGCACCAGCCAGAGCGCGCTTTGCAGCATCCAAGCGACAGGATATGGGTGTTGGTGTATGCCCACATGTGTGCAGCGACATGAGGGTGTGTTAGAGCTGGTGCGTGTTCTAGTGGGACCTGTGTGTGCTAACAGGACTGTCAGCAAGAATGTGTTGACAGACGAGTGTGTGTGCGCGCGCGAGGAGAGAGACCGTGTGTGACGTCGTCGTGTCACAAATGCGAAGTGTGGCAGTGCTGTCAGTGTGTGCCAGCAGGAGGGTGCTCCTGTGTTCATGAGCATGTGTGTAGTGTGTCAGCCCGCCCCGGAGCGTCCTCGAATCTGCCGGCCAGTGCAGGGTGTGTGAGAGCTCGTCTCAGCCAGGGGCCGTGAGCCAGAGGGGGTGGCCCACCCTGGCTGCCTCGGTCCTTACACATGGTCCTGGCTAGCGACCACACAAGAGACTTGGGCGGAGAACAGAGTGCCAGATCCCGGGTGACGCTGGTTGGACCCTCCGCCCGTGCCCTCGCCCAGGTCGTCCCCACGCGCGCGCGAGGCAGGGCGGCCACCCGCACTCACCGTGTCCCTTTGTCGCCCATGGTCCACGGCGGCCGCAGGGAGGTCCGCGGCGTCAGCGCCCAGGCTGGAAAATCCCCGGCCGCCAGGAGGAG